TAACATTTCATTATCTGGCAACAACTCTGGTGGATATTCCTGCAGTCAGCATGCCAATTGCACACTCCCTCAACTTGAGACATCTGTGGCATTGTGTTGTGTAAAGAAACTGCACATTTTAGAGTGGCCTTTTATTGTCCCCAGCACAAGGTGCACCTGTGTAATGATCATGCTGTTAAATCATCTTCTTGATATGCCACACCTGTCAGGTGGATGGATTATCTTGGCAAAGGAGAAATGCTCACTAACAGGGATGTAAACTAATTTGTGCACAAAATTTGAGAGAAATATGCTTTTTGTGCGTATGGAACATTTCTGGGATCTTTTATATCAGCTCATGAAACATGGGACTAACACTTTACATGTTGCATTTATTTTTGTTCAGTAATACATTCTAAACATTTCTTTGACAAACACGCTACCAGACCATCACAACAAAACAGCTGTGTCAGTCAAATAGTCAATCAGTCAAATGGTCAGTCTGTCAATAGTTAGTCAGTCAGTCACATAGTCAGTCTGCCAATAGTAAGTCTGTCAATAGTCAGTCGGTCAATAGTCAGTCGGTCAATAGTCAGTCAGTCAATAGTCAGTCAGCAGTGCTTGGCAGAGCCTTGGAGTAGAAGCAGAGAAGTCTATAAGAAGCCATTTCCAGACTAACCGCTCTGGTATAGCTCTCCAAGGCCACTGATTTATTCCAGACGCTTTATACTTTAATACCCTTTCAGCCAGATGAGAGCAGAGGTGAAATTGGTCAGAAACACTGAGCTCCAACAGAGAATATGTGATCAAATCAAATCCTATTTGTCGCATGCGCCGAATAAAACGGGTGTAGACATTACTGTGAAATGCTTCCTTACGAGCCGTTCCCAACGATGCAGAGTTACAATAAAAAGAAAAATAGTAACACAAGGAATAAAATACACATTGGAGCTATATACAGGGAGTACCAGTACCAGATCAATGTATAGGGGTACGAGGTATTTGAGGTAGATACTGTATGTATATAAAGGCAGGGTAAAGTGACTAGGCATCAGGATGGATAATAAGAGTCAAATAAAGAACAGAATAGCAGCAGCATCTGATGAGTGTAAAAGTGTGCGTGTGTTGTGTCGGTATGCTTGTGTGTGTTGTGTGCGTATGTAGTTTATGTGAATGTGTGTGGATTTTGTGTGAGAGTGTGTGTGTGTGTGTGCATTCGGAAAGTATTCAGACCCCTTGACTTTTTCCACATTTTGTTACGTTACAGCCTTATTCTAAAATGGATTAAATCATTTTTTTTCCCCTCATCAATCTACACACAATACCCCATACCGACAAAGCAAAAACAGGTTTTTAGACATTTTTACAAATGTATCAAAAAAAAAGAACAAAAAAAAAAAGATCACAGTTGCATAAGTATTCAGACCCTTTACTCAGTACTTTGTTGAAGCACCTTTGGCAGAGATTACAGCCTCGAGTCTTCTTGGGTATGACGCTACAAGCTTGGCACACCTGTATTTAGGGAGTTTCTCCCATTCTTCTCTGCAGATCCTCTCAAGCTCTGTCATGTTGGATGAGGGGCGTTGCTGTACAGCTATTTTCAGGTCTCTCCAGAGATGTTTGATCGGGTTCAAAAAGTGTAAAAGGTCAAGGGCTCTGAATACTTTCCGAATGCACTGTATATGAATGTTATCTGAATGTTCAGGTCCAGGCTCTGGCTGGGCCACTCAAGGACATTCAGAGACTTGTCCCGAAGCCACTCCTGCATTGTCTTGGCTGTGTGCTTAGGGTCGTTGTCCTGTTGGAAGGTGAACCTTCGCCCCAGTGGAGCAGGTTTTCATCAAGGATCTCTCTGTACTTTGCTCCATTCATCTTTCCCTCGATCCTGACTAGTGTCCCAGTCTCTGCCGCTGAAAAACATCCCCACAGCATGACGCTGCCACCACAATGCTTCACCGGATGTTACCAGGTTTCCTCCAGACGTGATTGTCAAAGACTCCAGCCACCCTAGTCATAGACTGTTCTCTCTGCTACCGCACGGTAAGTGGTACCGGAGCGCCAAGTCTAGGTCCAAGAGGCTTCTAAACAGCTTCTACCCCCAAGCCATAAGACTCCTGAACATCTAATCAAATGGCTACCCAGAATATTTGTAATGCGCCCCCCCCACCCCCCCCCCCCCCTCCCCCCCTCCCTCCCCTCCTTTACGCTGCTGCTACTCTCTGTTTATTATCTATGCATAGTCACTTTAATAACTCTACCTACATGTACATATTACCTCAATTACCTCGACTAACCGGTGCCTCCGCACATTGATTGACTCGGTACCGGTACCCCCCTGTATATATAGCCTCGCTATTGTAATTTTTAATGCTGCTCTTTCATTATTTGTTACTTTTATTTAGTATTATTTAGTATTTTTTCTTTTGTGATTTTATTTTTTGTATTCTTTCTTAAAACTGCATTGTTGGTTAAGGGCTTGTAAGTAAGCATTTCACTGTAAGGTCTACACCTGTTGTATCCGGCTCATGTGACAAATACAATTTGATTTGATCTGATGCTTGGCATTCAGGCCAAAGAGTTCAATCTTGGTTTCATTAGACCAGATGATCTTGTTTCTCATGGTCTGAGAGTCCTTTAGGTGACTTTTGGCAAACTCCAAGCAGGATGTCATGTGCCTTTTACTGAGGAGTGGCTTCCGTCTGGCCACTCTACCATAAAGGCCTGATTGTTGGAGTGCTGCAGAGATGGTTGTCCTTCAGAGGAACTCTGGAGCTCTGTCAGAGTGACCATCAGGTTCTTGGTCACCTCCCTGACCAAGGCCCTTCTCCCACAATTTCTCAGTTTGACCAGGCGGCCAGCTTTAGGAAGAATCTTGGTGGTTCCAAACATCTTCCATTTAAGAAAGATGGAGGCCACTGTGTTCTTGGGGACCTTCAATGCTGTAGAAATGTTTTGGTACCCTTTCCTAGATCTGTGCCTCAACACAATCCTGTCTCAGAGTTCTACAGACAATTCCTTCGACCTCATGGCTTGGTTTTTGCTCTGACATGCACTGTCAACTGTGGGACCTTATATAGACAGGTGTGTGCCTTTCCAAATCATGTCCAATCAATTGTATTTACCACAGGTGGACTCCAATCAAGTTGTAGAAACATCTCAAGGATGATCAATGGAAACAGGATGCACCTGAGCTCAATTTCAAGTCTCATAGCAAAGGGTCTGAACACTTACGTAAATAAGGTATTTCTGTTTTTTATTTGTAATAATTTTGTATTGTCAAGTTGTTTTTAAACGCCACTTTAAACGTGTACATGATACTACAACAACATTTCCGCACAGGAACAGTAAAGTCAGTAAAGTAAAGAAGTCGCCCTTCTCCTGATGATTACTGCGGCAGGTTTTCTGTGGTGTTTGTAGCCTGGGATTTTTTTGTATGTTCCAATTTTTATGAACTGCTGCTTAGCAACTGTGGTGGCCGCTACCTTTTATTGCCATTGGGATCCCCATTGCTCCAAACATGTTTTGTGTTTTCATTATGGCTCAATCAAAAACTTTGGAACAATACTTAGCTGACAATACTCAATATTGAGGCATACTAAAAAATAAGTATGTTTAGGAAGTTAGCACCATCCTGATAGCCTACCTTATTCCTGAATTTGAGGTGAGGCCTGTGAGCTGTGATGTGTACTAGCCCTGCATGGCTATACTCTGTGTGTGTGTTTGTGTGTGTGTGTGTGTGTGTGTGTGTGTGTGTGTGTGTGTGTGTGTGTGTGTGTGTGTGTGTGTGTGTGTGTGTGTGTGTGTGTGTGTGTGTGTGTGTGTGTGTATGTGTGTGTGTGTTGTGTATGTGTATGTGTTGTGTGTGTGTGTGTGTGTGTGTGTGTGTGTGTGTGTGTGTCTCTCTCTCTGTGTCTGCCTGCCTCTGTGTCTGTTTCTGTGCGTGCTTGCTTGCCTGCGTGCTTGCATTCGTTAAACTGTTCTAGTAGAATTTGATCAGTTATTCACTTTTTCATTGCTTTCATGACTGGTATCTTATTGAGAAGTAAACTGGGGACAACGCCTCAACCGTTTTATGTTGCCCTAATTCGAATAAAATCAAATCAAATGTTATTTGCCACGTGCGCCGAATACAACAGGTGTAGACATTACAGTGAAATGCTTACTTACAGGCCCTTAACCAACAATGCATTTATTTTTTTTATAAAAAAGTAAAATAAAACAACAACAACAAAAAAGTGTTTGTTATTTTTGGGAAAAGCGAGTGTATTGAGAGTGCATTGTGTTCTATCTTGGTCACTCCGTCTACTTTCAGCCTCGCCGTCATTGCGCGCAGCACCAACTGTACACCTAGGCCAGAGGGACCCATGGAGTGGACGTATGCGTATCAGAGTCAGCCTTGCCGGAGGGCGTTTTTCTACCTTATGATCGCTTACAGAAGTAGGCTACAAGCTAATGGATAGCAGATAACCAGCGCTGTGCAGCCTAATCGTGACGCTACTTGTATCCGTCCCATCGCTCGCCGAAGTGGTTGGGTTTTGGAACCGCTACCTGAACCAGCTCTCACTGCACCTGTTCGGGGAGGTAGTGGAGTGCACTGCGAAGCTGATCTCACCCATCCCCCCGCAACTGCCTTGAGGATAATCAGAACATAGATGATGTAGGCTGTTCCAGGCAGTTTTGGGATATTTTTCGGGGATTCTTTTGCATTACGCATGCGATAATAAATCAAATACAGTTCCCACGAGAGTTATCGGCACTTCTAAGGAAATATATGACGCACAAGCAACTTTAATATTGATTATTATTTTTTATTTATATTTTTTAAATATTTGGATGATAGGGTGAGAGCCGAGGTAACCGGGTGTCTTTGTAAATTAAACATTCCCAGCAGTTATGGCATTTGTGTCTGAATATCGAACTATACATACTGACTTATCTGGAAGGCTTTCATGTTAGCCTTTATCTGAGAGGATGCGGAGGATCCTTCTCCCCGGGTCCTCGGTGTCCTCTCTGCCGCCGTAATGGCTTGCGGGAGAGGCTGCTGCTCCCGCGCGATGAACGAGGATAACGCGCGGTTCCTGATGCTGGCGGTGCTGATCATGCTGTATCTGCTGTGCGGCGCGGCGGTGTTCTCCGCGTTGGAGCAACCGAAGGAGCGGCAGGCCAAAGAGCGGTGGGCGCAGCGCATCGAGAGCTTCACCCAGAAGCACAACCTCACCCGGACCGATTTGGAGACCTTTCTCCGGTTCTACGAGGAGGCGAACGTCGCCGGTATCCGCGTGGATACACTCAGACCTCGCTGGGATTTTACCGGCGCCTTTTACTTCGTGGGGACCGTTGTGTCGACCATAGGTAAGCTCAGAAACAAAGCCAGAAGGTTCAGTAAAGACTGCGGTGTATTGCAAAAATTGGCTCTTTTAATCTAAATGCACCATTTGAATCATTTAGAATAGGTGCCATATACCTGTTTCACGTTTACGCGCAATGACGCAGGGATGAGATGACAATAACATTTTTGTAATATTTTTTTTTGCATACCTTTTAAAAAATGCGTCAGTGTTATAATTCAGGAAATTAGTTGCACTTCAAATTATATGAGGACACTGTGACACCTTGACAAACTGATACCCTCCTTTGGCCTATTGTAGATGACCTGCATACAGAGGAGACAAGTTACATTGGATACAGGAAAAATACTTATCTCAAAGTGACAGAGCCTTGACCCTTCTCAAAAAGATGAAGTCGGTCTCAGAAAATCAATCATCAGTTAAATGGCAGCTCCTATTTCTCCCAGGTCATCATGCTTTTAAGGCGGAAGGAATATGAATGTCAAATTACTAATGAAAAGTGACATCAGTTTTGCTCAAATATTCTATGGCTATTAATTATTTAGGATTTTTATTTTCATTGTAGATATTCATTTTTCTTGTTTTTACTGTTTCCTGTAGGCTGTCAACCATTACAAATCAACTACAGTTAATTAAGGACATTGCCTCCCTCCTGGCCTCCATATTTTCTTTACTGAGAGTATGCATCACAGAGATATAACCCAGGGGTGGCAGACGATACAGCCAGAGGTTTGAAGTTGAGTACATGTTGATGCTCAAAGGCTGTTTGCACAGTATGGGTATACCGCCGTCAACATCAATAAGATAATGAAAGGTCAGACACACAAACAGAAGCCAATAAAGCCATTCCTGTAGCTACACTCTAGAAATGAGGGGTTCAACAAGGGTTATTCTAAGATCCTCAAAGTTCTTCGAAGAACCTTATGGTTCTTGGCACTGAAAATTGCCACCAAAGGGTTCTTCCAAGAACCACATAGGAGGTGGGGTTCATCGAGGAACCTCCTTAGTTGGTGGGGGTTCTTGCAGGAATGTAACTGCCCAACTGAAACATTTGGATTTGAAAGGACAGCAGGTGCAGGCACTTAACTTTGTATTTTTTTTCATTTAGATCTACTCAATTTAAAGTAAGGTTTGTCCCTTATATGATCTAAATTGATATTGTTTTATGATGATACCATCTATCTTTTCATATTTGTGTAAATCTTTCTAAAACAGAAAATGGACACAATTCAATGGATATCAAGCAACAGGTAAGAATATGTATGCTATAAGAATATGTTGAAGGCTAGCTGTATTGGGTGCAGATGAATGAACTGCTCACTTTTGTGTCTGTAGGTATACAGACGAGGAGGCATACAAAGGTATGTCAATTGGTATTGGTATGTTATGCAGATCACATGTACCATCCTCCCCCTTACCTCTTCAATGAAAATCCCATAGGCCTCTACATTATGGACAAGGCATGTGTATGAAAACCATTATCAAAACAGTTTTTTTCATTCACATTTATCACAAAAACCAAGGTATGAATACTGTCGTGTGCATGTTTTGTTAAACATCTGTATAATTACTATTTTTTGGATTCACAGACTTCACCCTCCCTACACCTCTGATGAATATAACAGGAAACCTGTTCGATCACCATGCACTGCAAAATCATTCTGGCTATGGATACAGAGAACATCAACACATTAACATCAACATGCCAGAGGATATACCCATTGGACTTGGGGCTCTGCTAGGAGTTTTCCTCATATTTAGATTTTTATATTCTGCTTTGCCACTAAAATCATAATAAAATTGACAACTAAAATATTGTGTTATTGTTGTTATTGTTATGCGTATTATTATTAATAATAATAGGGGAAACCCAAAAAGTTATTTGAAGATCCATTAAAAGGGGTTCTTCGAAGAACTTATAGGGGTTCCCCCACAGTCTCAATTTGAAGAACCCCTAAAGGATCCTCCAGGAACCTTGACTTTTTAGAGTGTAGCATCTCCTTTCCCTCTCCTCCAGTAGCCTAGTCTCAAGCCTGTTCAGTTGAAGCCCTGTCTCTTTCTTTTTGAAGGATGAGTTGTTTTAGAGATTTCTCTTTCATCTCCAAGGAGCACATCTGTGAAAATGGTAATGAAACACCACCCCACCCCTCACTAAATTAGCATTTCACTCAAGGGGATGGAGGAGAGGAGCGAGAAATGAGAAAGAGAAAGAGACAGATGCTTAGAAAACTAGAAGTATTATGAGACATCGTCACCTATGGCAACCTGGTTTACATTATTATCCTTTACCTTGGAAGTGAACGAGGGATGCAGGGTGGGCTTTTTAGGAACAGACAGACAGGGTAATGTTAGGTCATTATGATGAGTAAACTCTCTGATCATTTTTCTTTCTCTCTCTCGTCCCTCCCCTCTCTCTCGCTCCCCCGTATCTCCCTCCCTCTCTCCCCCCCTCCTCTCCCTCCGTCCCTCTCTCCCCCCTCCTCTCCCTCCGTCCCCCGCCCACCCCGGTCAGGATTTGGCATGACCACCCCGGCCACGGTCAGCGGCAAAGTCTTCCTCATCTTCTACGGCCTGATCGGCTGCGCCTCCACCATCCTCTTCTTCAACCTCTTCCTGGAGCGCATCATCACGGTGCTCGCCTTCGTCCTCAAGTCCTGCCATGAGCTGCAGCGCCGGCGCCAGGGCATCATGCCCCGCGATGGCCACAGGAAGGCGCCACCGCCAGGACCCAGAGATAGAGACAGGGACATTCTGGCTGGATGGAAGCCTTCAGTGTACTATGTGATGCTGATTCTCTGTGTGGCCGCTGTGGTGATCTCCTGCTGTGCCTCGGCCATGTATTCGGCGGCGGAGGGCTGGGGATATCTGGACTCGCTGTACTTCTGTTTTGTGGCATTTAGCACCATCGGGTTTGGGGACATGGTGAGCAGCCAGAGGGTTGCATACGATGGGAACCAGACAACCTACAGACTGGGGAACTTCCTGTTTATATTGATGGGTGTCTGCTGTATCTACTCGCTGTTCAACGTCATATCCATCGTCATCAAGCAGGTGATGTTTTTATGTAGCTAGTTTGTCCATTCTGTAGCTCTAAGGCAAAGCGAGAGAGAGATGAGAGATAGAGAGAGAGAGGAGAGGAGAGAAGGAGAGCGAGAGAGAAGAGAGCGGAGACAGAGAGAGAGAGCGAGAGAGAGAGAGAGAGAGAGAGGGAGAGAGACGAGAGAGACGAGCGAGCGGAGAGAGAGAGAGAGAGAAGAGAGAAGAGAGAGACGATCGAGAAGAGAGAAGCTAGAGAAGATCGCTGAGGTCTCGCTCTCTCTCGCTCTCCTCTCTCTCTCTATCTCCTCTGCTATCTCTCTCTCTCTCTCGCTATTCTAGCGCTCTCTCTATCCTCTCTGCCTCTCTCCTCTCTCTCTCATTACTGTCACACACACCACAGGAGGTTGGTGGCACCTTAATTGGGGAGGCCGGACTCATAATAATGTCTGGAATGGAAAAAACGGAATGGTATCGAACTCATCAAACACATGGTTTCCATGTGCTTGTTACCATTCCAGCCATTATTATGAGCCGAGCCCCTGTGGTACACACACGCTGCCCAGCTTCTTTCTCTAGGTATGTGGGGGTTTCACTAGAGCACTATTATTAATTTATGTTTCTGAATTTTAAAGTTTTATAAAAACAATACATTTTCCCAAAACTCAAGCAGACTCTTAACTGGCTGCTGAGAAAGCTGGGTATTCTCTGTTGCCGAGGCTGCTGCCGCTGCTCCGCCGGGATCGGGAAGAGACTCCGGCCACGGCGGAACGCCGTGATGCCCAGCAGCACTGGACACGTACACCGGCGGGCGCGGCGGACTGTCTCCATAGAAACGGACGCGGTGAACGAGAGCGAGACGGATGGAGGGCGGCGGATGTCGGGGGAGATGATCTCCATGAGGGACTTACAGGCGACCAATAAGGTGAATGTTCCGGGTCAAAAGCATGGTTCACTCTGTTACTTTCATTTCTAGTCGAAAGTGTTGCCCCTGCTCTTGTTTATAAATGGAGTTTTTTTTTCATGGGGTTTTATTTACTGTATTTACAGTATCTAGTAGCACCTGGAGTGGCCATGAATTGAAAGGGATGAATTGATATCAAAGTTTCAGACTGCACCTGATTCATGTTGTTTAGTGCTGTTGTCGTGCAATATATGGAATGTGTGATCTATTGTCTATATTGTTCAAAATATATTTTTGTATATCCTTTTGGTAAGCAAGCAGTTTGGAGATGCAAACGCTAAACTGATTTAACTGTCCATTGAGACAGGAAGATGATTTAACTGTCGAAAGAGACAGGAAGCTGATTTAACTGTCCAAGGAGACAGGAAGTTGATTTAACTGTCCAAAGAGACAGGAAGCTGATTTAACTGTCCAAGGAGACAGGAAGTTGATTTTACTGTCCAAAGAGACTGGAAGTTGATTTAACTGTCCAAAAAGACTGGAAGTTGATTTAACTGTCCAAAGAGACAGGAAGTTGATTTAACTGTCCAAAGAGACAGGAAGTTGATTTAACTGTCCAAAGAGACAGGAAGCTGATTTAACTGTCCAAGGAGACAGGAAGTTGATTTAACTGTCCAAAGAGACTGGAAGTTGATTTAACTGTCCAAAGAGACTGGAAGTTGATTTAACTGTCCAAAGAGACAGGAAGTTGATTTAACTGTCCAAAGAGACAGGAAGTTGATTTAACTGTCCAAAGAGACAATAAGTTGATTTAACTGTCCAAAGAGACAGGAAGCTAATTTAACTGTCCAAAGAGGCAGGAAGTTGAAAGAATGTTGAAGCGCGAGGCTAAACTTCTCAGGTGTTTTGGTCCCGTAGCTATCATGTTGTAGCAACCTGAAGCACACCCTTGCTCGTGTTGGACTACTCTGTGTGACTGTGAGAGCAGTCTCGAGTCACGCCCATTTCAATATCTGCGATGCTGCTCGTTGCGACTTCATCTAGCTGAGTCTACCTTTAAAATACCTGCAGGTATGAGCCTTTATTATCTAGAGTGGACAGACTGCGTAAACATAAATGGTACCGTAATTGAGAATCTGACCAAATAACATGAGATTTTAGTTCTGAGTTAACCGAGATTATAGCCTTTATAATGTCTTATCTTTCATCTACATTGAACAAAAATATAAACGCAACACGTAAAGTGTTGGTCCCATGTTTCATGAGCTGAAATAAAATATCCCAGAAATGTTCCATACGCACAAAAAGCTTATTTCTCTCAAATGTTGTGCCCAAATGTGTTTACATCCTTGTTAGTGAGCATTTCTCCTTTGCCAAGATAATCCATCCACCTGACAAGTGTGGCATATCAAGAAGCTGATTAAACAGCATGATCATTACACAGGTGCACCTTGTTCTGGGGACAATAAAAGGCCACTCTAAAATGTGCAGTTTTGTCACACAACACAATGCCACAGATGTCTCAAGTTTTGAGGGAGCGTGCAATTGGCATGCTGACTGCAGGAATGTCCACCAGAGCTGTTGCCAGAGAATGTCATTTTTAATTTCTTTACCATAAGCCTCCTCCAACATCATTTTAAACAATTCCTGGAAGCTGAAAATGTCCCAGTTCTTCCATGGCCTGCATACTCACCAGACATGTCACCCATTGAGCATGTTTGGGATGCTCTGGATCGACGTGTACGACCGCGTGTTCCAGTTCCCGCCAATATCCAGCAACTTCACACAGCCATTGAAGAGGAGTGGGACAACAGTCCACAGGCCACAATCAACTGCCTGATCAACACTATGCGAAGGAGATGTGTCGTGCTGCATGAGGCAAATGGCGGTCACAACAGATACTGACTGGTTTTCTGATCCACGCCCCAACTTTTTTTTAAGGCTGTGACTAACAGATGCATATCTGTATTCCCAGTCGTGTGAAATCCATAGATTAGGGTCTAATGAATTTATTTCAATTGACTGATTTCCTTATATGAACTGTAACAGTAAAATCTTTGAAATTGTTGCATGTTGTTTATATTTTTGTTCAGTATAGTTATTAAAGTATCACGTGAACCTCTCCTCTCCTCTGCAGGTGAACCTCGCACTGATGCAGAAGCAGCTGTCGGAGGCAGCAAATAATGGGATCCCTCGGCCGTCCGGCTCCAACCAAAACAGACTAAATGGATTTTCTGGAGGAGTGGGGGCGCTGGGCGTCATGAACAACAGGCTGGCTGAGACCAGTGTCGACAGATGACTGACTATTACAATAATAACTTCATTTGTATAGCACCTTTCAATACAAGTAACAAAGTGCTTCACATCATAAAATAATTAAATAAAAGTACTAACAAAGAAACACAGACAGGAGAAAGGAGAATGAAACAAGATCATGATATATTATATCGTATTATGAGTCATCATGTTGCCTCTCTGTGGTCCTCTTTTTAGCTCAGTTGGCAGAGCATTTGCGCTTGCAATGTCAGGATAGTAGGTTTGATTCCCGGGACCACCCATATCTAAAATATATGCACTCATGAATGTTGCTTTGGATAAAAGCATCTGCTAAATGGCATATATATTCACACTGGATGTCCACAAAGATACTGAACACCATATAGAGATTTATCATCATCAAAACAGAAGTCATACACTGTGAAAATATAAATGCTACTACAGACGTCTCTCAAAACCATGTGTTGACGTCTCAAGATCATGTGATCCGAGAGACAAAGTGGACAACAAGTGCTCACTAAAGGAGCGATTCCCAGAAAGTGGTTTGGGTCCAAAATCTTTAGATTGGTCACAGTTGGAAAAGGTTTTGGAATGGAACCACTGCTGTAGCCCACTGGACATGATCCATAAAGACACTGTAGAGAAAACAACTATACTGAAATATAATATAAACGCAACATGCAACAATTTCAACGATTTTACTGAGGTACAGTTCATAGAAGGAAATCAGTCAATTGAAATAATTTCATTAGGCCCTAATTTATGGATTTCACGACTGGGCAAGGGCGCAGCCAATAGGTTGGCCTGGGAGGGCATAGACCCACCCACTGGGGAGCTAGGCCCAGCCAATCAGAATGAGTTTTTCCCCACAAAAGGTCTTTATTACAGACAGAAATACTCCTCAGTTTCATCAGCAGTCCGGGTAGCTGGTCTCAGACGATCCTGCAGGTGAAGAAGCCGCATGTGGAGGTCCTGGGCTGGCGTGGTTACACGTGGTCTACGGTTGTGAGGCCGGTTGAACGTACTGCCAAATTCTCTAAAATGACATTGGTGGAGAAATTAACATTCAATTCTCTGGCATGGCTGCCATTTTGTGCCAGAATGTTCAGTGACCACAACACATCAGTCATTGTGGTGGAAATGTTAGGGGTTATTTTAGCCAAATAGTCTAAAGGGAGATGCCAAACGGTCCTGTACAGTATTCTTTATTGTAGAGGACATCTCATGTTGTTTTGTGTAGGAGACAGATCATGTTTTTTATGCTTGAATAAATTATAGGTGGCCAAAAGTTGAAATCAGTTGCCAAATACATAAAGATCTTGGTTGAGGAACTCCCCTTCACTCTCCTATAAAAATCTGCAAGACATCACACTGTATTGTAAACACTGTTCCAAAATGTTATGAACACACATCGAAAAACACAATGTACTGATACATTTATTGATTCTAGAAGTGCTAGTAGGCATCATTTCTCCGTAACAGAGTAGTAACATAATTCTACTTCTTCCTCTCTTTGGTTTTTAAATATGAATGAGGATTCTGGAGAAGAAAACATTTGAGAGAGAAAGACCAAAATCTTAATCTATGACTTGACATTGCACATACTTATTTGAAATGTACCCAGCGCACTTTTTATAAAAGAGTTCAAAGGCAGACATTTCCAAATGTTTCAGGAACAATGGATATTATGTAAAGTAGCTAATATGCAGGCACATAAACACCTGTCCTTGGATGAAATCATTATTCAAGAGCCACAGTGTAATTTGAAGGTAGAACTTGATATACCTGTGGTGCTAATCAGACAGCTGTTGTGTTTGTAGCCAGAGACCAGGTTCGTGTGCCTGTGCGTTTTTGTCTGCATGTGCGTGTGGTTTGGAGCGGGGACACAGAGGAGTCACCACACACCTGAATAATGGATGATGCAGGACATCAAAAGACCCCCCTCCTCCAGCCCCTCCCTTTTCTTTTTGGTTTTATTTCCCTCTCTTCCATTGAGGCTCTGTCGGCAAAGTTTTGCGCGTTAAATCAGGGGACTCTCGAGTCACATTACACGCAGCATCGCTGTCGAGTACAATGCTTGAAGCTTTGTTTTTACAATAAAAGGTAAACTCAGAAAGGATTTATAATCTGGTCTTCCCATCTCTCCCTGTTGAAGTCCCAGTGCACTACTTGAAACGATGCAAGAAATCACTAACAGGGGTGTTGAAATAATGGAAACAGAACAATGTGGATTATTAGAGAATGATAAGGATTGTATAAACATGATGTTGAGATAAAGACGGGCTGTTTTCTTTATGGAGTTCATCACTTTATGTTACGATCATATTGCACATTATGGTAGCAGTGTTTGGTTAGGCTTTTTTTTCGGGAGGGTATTGCATCCTTCTGGCAATGCATTCTCAATCTGTATTTTGTATTTATTATGGATCCCCTTCCTGGCGTCTGGCAAAATTAAGGCAGTTATACCATTTTAACATTAAAATACATTCACAGATTTCACAAAACACTGTGTACCCTCAGGCCCCTACTCCACTACCACATATCTACAATACAAAATCCATGTCTACGTGTGTGTGTGTAGGCATGTGTCTGTGCCTGTGTTTGTGTTGCTTCACAGTCCCCGCTGTTCCATAAGGTGTATTTTTATCTGTTTTTTTTTAAATCTAATTTTACCACTTGCATCAGTTACTTGATGTGGAATAGAGTTCCATGTAGTCATGGCTCTATGTATTACTGTGCGCCTCCCATAGTCTGTTCTGAACTTGGGGACTGTGAAGAGACCTCTGGTGGCATGTCTTGTGGGGTATGCATGGGTGTCCGAGCTGTGCGCCAGTAGTTCAAACAGACAGCTCGGTTCATTCAACATGTCAATCCCTCTCATAAATACAAGTAGTGATGAAGTCAATCTCTCCTCCTCTTTGATCCAGGAGAGATTGACATGCATATTATTAATGTTAGCTCTCTGTGTACATCCCAGGGCCAGCTGTGCTGCCCTGCTCTGAGCCAATTGCAATTTTCCTAAGTCCCTCTTTGTGGCACCTGACCACACGACTGAACAGTAGTCCAGGTGTGACAAAACTAGGGCCTGTAGGACCTGCCTTGTTGAAAGTGCTGCTTAGAAGGTAGAGCAGTGCTTTATTATGGACAGACTTCTCCCCATCTTAGCTACAGTTGTCTCAATGTTTTGACCATGGCAGTTTACAATCCAGGGTTACTCCAAGCAGTTTAGTCACCTCAACTTGCTCAATTTCCACATTATTTATTACAAGATGAAGTTGAGGTTTAGGGTTTAGTGAATGATTTGTCTCAAATACAATGCTTTTAGTTTTAGAAATATTTAGGACTAACTTACTCCTTGCCACCCACTCTGAAACTAACTGCAGCTCTTTGTCAAGTGTTGCAGTCATTTCAGTCGCTGTGGTAGCTGACGTGTATAGTGTAGATTCATCCGCATACATAGACACACTGGCTTTACTCAAAGCCAGTGGCAGGTCGTTAGTAAAGATGGAAAAAAGTAAGGGGCCTAGACAGCTGCCCTGGGGAATGCCTGATTCTACCTGGATTATGCTGGAGAGGCTTCCATTAAAGAACACCCTCTGTGTTCTGTTAGACAGGTAACTCTTTATCCACAATATAGCAGGGGGTGTAAAGCCATAACAAGTTTTTCCAGCAGCAGACTATGATCGATAATGTCAAAAGCCGCACTGAAGTGTAACAAAACAGCCCCCACAATCTTTTTTATCATCAATTTCTGTCTCTGTTGATCATTATTATTATTTTATATTATGTAACAGCACATTGTTTCTTATGATTTGGCAGTTGGCACGTCACAGGAGGCAGAGAAAAACATCAAACAGCTCATCCTACTAATACACAAGGATTAATACTTTACATTTCTCATACCCAAATTAACACCACCAGCGATTAACGGTTTCTCTCGAGCCCTCAAAAGCTCATCAAACAAGTTTGTGTGGAAAAGAGTGTATTTTCCCCAACAGTGGGCTAGACCCAAGTGAAAAGCAGCTGGTACATAATAATACAACACATACACATTCAGATTGCCATGGCAATCATCCAGAGGAGGCATACAATACCAATCCAGTCATAAAGGTGAGACTAATGAATAACTGGACAACATATCCCTGCAAAAAGCCTTGGTGAATCCATTAAAACTGATAAGAGACAAGTGAACACCCACAAACTTCCTATTCTGGTATAGGCCTACCTGTGCACCAGAGGCAAAGCTGATACTGATAATTAACGCATTGGTGTTCTTTGGAAATATTGCCCCATATGTACAGTAAAAACATGCCTCAACATGTCATGACTCAAACCACTAAACTAACCTACTATACTACTACTTCTGGGCTACTTACTACTACTATTGCTACTGCTACTATTAGGCCTAATGCTATGCTACAATATAAAACACAACACGCTTGGCCAGTTTGTTTTAAATTATATTTTATTATCTTTATAGAACCCTGATTCAGTGAGTGCAGTGCTGTGCCCATTGTGAACACTGCATGTTAGATAGCAATGTAGGATCCACTCTGTTAGCACAGTGGTCAGTACATGGGATTATTGACAACACAGGACTTACAGTTAAACCCCAATAAAATTAAAACAATGATTTAAGGAGAAAAGCTCTGATAGATCAGTAATGTACTTAGCTGTCCAGCTAATCACTTGTCCATTCCTGTCTTACAAAAGACTTACATATAGTAGTTCTATTGACTCTTATCCTTCAAAGACTATTCTCACAATCCTTTCTTTGTTCATATGGTAAAATATGAAAGGCCACTGAGAGACTATTCAGACACTGATTACAAAGGCTGATTAAAGCCCCTGGATAGTTAGTCGCATAAATTAAAATAAATAAGAGCCACTCTGGCTCACCAGTCAACTGTGACCACACCACTGGGTGGAGCTAGTGGTTATAGAGCCACTCTGGTTCTCCAGTCAACTGTGACCACACCACCGGGTGGAGCTAGTGGTTATAGAGCCACTCTGGTTCTCCAGTCAACTGTGACCACACCACTGGGTGGAGCTAGTGGTTATAGAGCCACTCTGGTTCTCCAGTCATCTGTGACCACACCACTGGGTGGAGCTAGTGGTTATAGAGCCACTCTGGTTCTCCAGTCATCTGTGACCACACCACTGGGTGGAGCTAGTGGTTATAGAGCCACTCTGGTTCTCCAGTCAACTGTGACCACACCACCGGGTGGAGCTAGTGGTTATAGAGCCACTCTGGTTCTCCAGTCATCTGTGACCACACCACTGGGTGGAGCTAGTGGTTATAGAGCCACTCTGGTTCTCCAGTCAACTGTGACCACACCACCGGGTGGAGCTAGTGGTTATAGAGCCACTCTGGTTCTCCAGTCAACTGTGACCACACCACTGGGTGGAGCTAGTGGTTATAGAGCCACTCTGGTTCTCCAGTCAACTGTGACCACACCACTGGGTGGAGCTAGTGGTTATAGAGCCACTCTGGTTCTCCAGTCAACTGTGACCACACCACTGGGTGGAGCTAGTGGTTATAGAGCCACTCTGGTTCTCCAGTCAACTGTGACCACACCACCGGGTGGAGCTAGTGGTTATAGAGCCACTCTGGTTCTCCAATCAACTGTGACCACACCACCGGGTGGAGCTAGTGGTTATAGAGCCACTGGAGGTATCTGGGCCCATATTCACGGAGTGTTCCAGAATGGCAGTGCTGATCTATCCTGGGTACTAGTCTGTTACTGCTCTCTGGTCAACTCCTTATGGAACTGCGATGCAGAACATGTTTGGCTTGACAATGACAACGGAGTTGGCAAAAGCACAAACAGATCTGGGACCAGGCTAGTGCTGATCTAGGATCAGGTCCCCTCGGCCCATATCATCTTATTCACTATGATCTAAAAAAGCTAAACAGATCGCATCTGCACTCCTACTCTGAACCTCTTTGTGAATATGGGCCCAGGAGTGGAAGAAACTAAAGACGCTTTTAGACTATTTCTGAGGCAACTACACCACAACTAAAGAACAAGATCTCCTTAAGATCGCCCAAACATTTATAAAGATCAAATTTAGACAAAATAAACTACTCCATTGAAACACCCAGAGATTGAATAGAGAGCTCAGTCAGTTAATAGTGCAGTATTACAGGCGTAAAAGGCAAAAAAAGAGCTGTGGTTTTAAAACTAACGTTAATCAAAAGATCTCCTAAAGATCCTCTGCACATGTATTCTTAATGTTCCAACACTCAACAGAGAAAACAGATTGAGACAAACGAAAAGAAGCCGGTTATGATGCAGTAATATGAACTGACAAAAAGGAAAACAAGTCCTGAGATAGTTTACCGCTGGATGTGAGACCTATTGTGGAAAGAAACACCACACTTTCCTAACCTCGCTCCCCATTTCACCTGGTATTTACCTTCCCAAACAAAATCTTAGCTTGAACAAATATAGAGTTCATAGACGATCCTTCATTAAATAAATAGTTTCACCCATCATTGGCCTGGGTTGAGTTCACAAAATGAAAAAGTTGTCCGAATGAGAACCAGTCAGTAGCAGAGGAGAACATAAACAGACCATCAGTGTTAGTGCTGAGACAAGTAGAACCACTACTGCTAGAAGCTGCTCCTAAACACAGATCTAGGATCAGTTTTACACTAACCCAACCCTGCCCACCACCAGTCAGGGTAAACTGTCCTAAAAGACTAAACTGTCCTCAGATCATTGCTAAGGACGGTCTGACCTCAGACGAGGAGCGAGGGTGTTGCCCATGGCAGCTCCAGGTAAAAGGTAGCCCCTGGCCTAACCACAGATCTAGGCAACCGTAACAAGCATCTGACCCTAGGCCAGCAGTTAGATACCATTTCTATAAGGATGTCCTTATTTGAGCGTCCAGTGTTGGCCAGGAAGTCCTTATTTGGATTCACTGTGTTGGAAGAGCTGCAGGTCGAGGCGGACCCACACCTCTCCAGTGGGGACCTCGTGGAGCAGCAAGCGGCGCGTCACTAGCCCCTTGTTCTCCAACTCCTTCTTTATGGTTGCCACGGGAACCTCCGTACGACCCAGGAAGTCTGGGTAACGGCCGAGAGGAGACAAGTTAGCAATCTGAGAGACTAGTTAACAGTCTGAGAGACTAGTTAGCCGTCTGACTAGTTAGCCGTCTGACACATTCCCTATAGATAGAGGTTGTGTTCCAGGCCTACTAGATTGCAGACGTTGCACTTGAATTGCATCAACCAATGGTTATGTCCCACACCATGGACTGCACAGTCCTGCATCAGATTGCTATATCAAATGATGTGGTTAGCTGATATGTTAAATACCTATCCAAGCATTGTGAGATCTGGCATGCGTCTGAATGTAGTCTGTCTGGCCAACGCGGCCAGAGTGTCTTGTTTCCTGTGTGTGTGTGTGTGTGTGTGTGTGTGTGTGTGTGTGTGCTGACCGTCAGGGGAGAACTGGTCCCTCTGGAAGATGGTGATGCAGAGGACATCCTGGTACAGGTCTTGGATGTTGAACTGACAGTTGAAGTTCCACTTGGGGTTGACCGTGTCACTCAGGGTCCTGGAGGTGTAGATCTGAGCTCCCATGGTCACCTCGCAGTAAGGGTTACTCTTACCTAGGGGGGAGGAGGAGGAGGAGGAGGAGGAGGAGAGGAGTGGGAGGGATGGAGGAGGAGAAAGGAGAAGGGTTTTATTCCATACCAGTGCCCAAAGGATAAATTCAGACTGTACATGAGTTACAGTGTTACAATGTAAACACTCATCCTGTGGTTAGATGGTACTAGTTCATGTCTGCTGTGTGGGTAAACTATGTATGATGTGTATAAGCCTTACCGTTGGGTTTGCAGGACTTCAGTTCAGTGGCCTCCAGGATGGTGACTAACAGACGGCCGATTCCACTGGCCTTCAGAGAACGAGCTGTAGACATACAGAGGAGGAGGGGTCCGAATACAGAGGAGGAGGAGTCAGAATACAGAGGAGGAGGAGTCAGAATACAGAGGAGTAGGAGTCAGAATACAGAGGAGTAGGAGTCAGAATATAATATAATAATAATACAGAGGAGGAGGAGTCAGAATACAGAGGAGGAGGAGTCAGAATACAGAGGAGGAGGAGTCAGAATACAGAGGAGTAGGAGTCAGAATACAGAGGAGTAGGAGTCAGAATACAGAGGAGTAGGAGTCAGAATATAATATAATAATAATACAGAGGAGGAGGAGTCAGAATACAGAGGAGGAAGAGTCAGAATACAGAGGAGGAGGGGTCAGAATACAGAGAGGAGGGGTCAGAATACAGAGAGGAGGGGTCAGAATACAGAGGAGGAGGAGTCAGAATACAGAAGAGGAGGAGTCAGAATACAGAGGAGGAGGAGTCAGAATACAGAGGAGGAGGAGTCAGAATACAGAGGAGGAGGGGTCAGAATACAGAGAAGGAGGGGTCAGAATACAGAGAGGAGGGGTCAGAATACAGAGAGGAGGGGTCAGAATACAGAAGAGAAGGGGTCAGAATACAGAGGAGGAGGAGTCAGAATACGGAGGAGGAGGAGTCCAAATACAGTGGAGGAGGAGTCAGAATACTACTAGGTCACTGGTGTTGCGTGTGTGTGTGTGCGTGCGTGCGTGCGTGTGTGTGTGTGTGTGTGTGCGTGCGTGGAGGCTGACCTTGGTAGGCCTTTGCTCTCTTCTTCTTATCCGTCTCGAAGAAGTCTGCACATGCAGCTTTGATCTTCTGAACCCAGGCCGTCCTGCAGAACGGAGAACACACACACACACCATGAGCGAGTGCCTGCATAGAAGTGTGTGTGGCATTTGTGTTTGTGCATGTGTGTGTCGTGTGTGTGTGAGATGTGTGTGTGTGTGAGATGTGTATGTGTACACCTCTCGTTGATGTTCTCTGTTTTGAGGCTGTAGACTCTGTCTAGGTGGGAGATGTGGAAGAAGGGCTCTTCACTGGAGGAATCAGGCAGCTTCACTAGAATCTCGTTGAGGAACACCGGCTACAGGAGGAAACAACATGCTTCATTAGCCTCTCATAACCATGACATTATACACAGAAAGAAAGTCTACCCAAACACGCTTCAGCCCATCTTCAACAAAAGGCTGTGTAGGTACCTCCCAGCCTTTCCTACCCAAGGCTCTGATGAAGGCGATTACATAGAAAGGTAAGCCTGTTTATAGGTAACTCCCAGCCTTTCCTACCCAAGGCTCTGATGAAGGCGATTACATAGAAAGGTAAGCCTGTTTATAGGTATCTCCCAGCCTTTCCTACCCAAGGCTCTGATGAAGGCGATTACATAGAAAGGTAAGCCTGTTTATAGGTATCTCCCAGCCTTTCCTACCCAAGGCTCTGATGAAGGCCATTACATAGAAAGGTAAGCCTGTTTATAGGTATCTCCCAGCCTTTCCTACCCAAGGCTCTGATGAAGGCGATTACATAGAAAGGTAAGCCTGTTTATAGGTATCTCCCAGCCTTTCCTACCCAAGGCTCTGATGAAGGCGATTACGTAGAAAGGTAAGCCTGTTTATAGGTACCTCCCAGCCTTTCCTACCCAAGGCTCTGATGAAGGCGATTACATAGAAAGGTAAGCCTGTTTATAGGTATCCTCCCAGCCTTTCCTACCCAAGGCTCTGATGAAGGCGATTACATAGAAAGGTAAGCCTGTTTATAGGTAACTCCCAGCCTTTCCTACCCAAGGCTCTGATGAAGGCGATTACATAGAAAGGTAAGCCTGTTTATAGGTATCTCCCAGCCTTTCCTACCCAAGGCTCTGATGAAGGCGATTACATAGAAAGGTAAGCCTGTTTATAGGTAACTCCCAGCCTTTCCTACCCAAGGCTCTGATGAAGGCGATTACATAGAAAGGTAAGCCTGTTTGTTTGTCCTGTCAATAAATAAATCAGCTCTATGCTGCAGAAACACAGAGCTCCTTTTTCTTTATTCTCCTAGATAGTCACCGGTTGAAGTATCCTGGGGTAAGGAATGATAGTCACTGGTTGAAGTATCCTGGGGTAAGGAATGATAGTCACCGGTTGAAGTATCCTGGGGTAAGGAATGATAGTCACCGGTTGAAGTATCCTGGGGTAAGGAATGATAGTCACCCGTTGGAAGTATCCTGGGGTAAGGAATGATAGTCCCCCCGTTGAAGTATCCTGGGGTAAGGAATGATAGTCACCCGTTGAAGTATCCTGGGGTAAGGAATGATAGTCCACCCCGTTGAAGTATCCTGGGGTAAGGAATGATAGGCACCCGTTGAAATATCCTGGGGTAAGGAATGATAGGCACCCGTTGAAGTATCCTGGGGTAAGGAATGATAGTCACCCGTTGAAGTATCCTGGGGTAAGGAATGATAGTCACCCGTTGAAGTATCCTGGGGTAAGGAATGATAGTCACCCGTTGAAGTATCCTGGGGTAAGGAATGATAGTCACCCGTTGAAGTATCCTGGGGTAAGGAATGATAGTCACCCGTTGAAGTATCCTGGGGTAAGGAGTGATAGGCACCTGTTGAAGTATCCTGGGGTAAGGAATGATAGTCACCCGTTGAAGTATCCTGGGGTAAGGAATGATAGTCACCCGTTGAAGTATCCTGGGGTAAGGAATGATAGGCACCCGTTGAAATATCCTGGGGTAAGGAATGATAGGCACCCGTTGAAGTATCCTGGGGTAAGGAATGATAGTCACCGGTTGAAGTATCCTGGGGTAAGGAATGATAGTCACCTGTTGAAGTATCCTGGGGTAAGGAATGATAGTCACCCGTTTAAGTATCCTGGGGTAAGGAATGATAGTCACCCGTTGAAGTATCCTGGGGTAAGGAATGATAGTCACCCGTTGAAGTATCCTGGGGTAAGGAATGATAGTCACCCGTTGAAGTATCCTGGGGTAAGGAATGATAGTCACCCGTTGAAGTATCCTGGGGTAAGGAATGATAGTCACCGGTTGAAGTATCCTGGGGTAAGGAATGATAGTCACCGGTTGAAGTATCCTGGGGTAAGGAATGATAGTCACCGGTTGAAGTATCCTGGGGTAAGGAATGATAGTCACCCGTTGAAGTATCCTGGGGTAAGGAATGATAGTCACCCGTTGAAGTATCCTGGGGTAAGGAATGATAGTCACCCGTTGAAGTATCCTGGGGTAAGGAATGATAGTCACCCGTTGAAGTATCCTGGGGTAAGGAATGATAGTCACCCGTTGAAGTATCCTGGGGTAAGGAATGATTTTGGAACTCCATTTGGAACTAATATGTGTGTGTGAGCGTGGCGTGTGTGTGTGTGTGTGTGTGTGTGTGTGTGTGTGTGTCTCTCACCGGCTTGTACATCTTAAGTTGTGTGCTGTTCTTGCTGGTGAAGAGTCTGTCTGGTCCTGAGGAGCTGAACTGTTTGGCAGCGTGGGTGAGCAGTAGGAAGTCATTGAAGAGGAAGGCCCACAGCTCCTTATTGCTCTTCATCTTGTACACCTTCCCACTGTGCAGCAGCTTACGAGGCCCCAGGCAGTTAGTCAGAGAGTTAAACACAAAGTTCTGCAGGGGAGAGACAGGTTACAGAGGTGTGTGGTTGTGTGTGCGTTAGAGTGAGTGAGTCAGATACACAGATAGTATGTGTATACGGTGTGTGTATGTAGGTGTGTGTGTGTGAGGTTGTGTGTGCGTTAGAGTGAGTGAGTCAGATACACAGATAGTATGTGTATACGGTGTGTGTATACGGTGTGTGTATACTGTGTGTGTATGTAGGTGTGTCTATACGGTGTGTCTATACGGTGTGTGTATACGGTGTGTGTATACGGTGTGTGTATGTAGGTGTGTGTGTGGTTGTGTGTATGTAGGTGTGTGTGTGTGTGTGGTTGTGTGTATGTAGGTGTGTGTGTGTGTGTGTGTGTGGTTGTGTGTATGTAGGTGTGTGTGTGTGTGTGTGTGTGGTTGTGTGTATGTAGGTGTGTGTGTGTGTGGTTGTGTGTATGTAGGTGTGTGGTTGTGTGTATACGGTGTGTGTGTGTGTGGTTGTGTGTATGTGTACAGTATGTGTGTGTGTGTGTACCTCTGTGACTCCCTCACACTGTACGTGTGTCTGTATCCACTCCAACCTCTCACAGTTCTCCTTCTCCCTGACCCCCTCGTTGACCTGAGTACACAGCTCCTCGGCCCGCTCCAGGGCCTCTCTCAGGGGCCCGCTGTCTGCATGGTCCTCCTGGGTACTCTCCAGGATCTGACAATCAATCAATCAAATGTATTTTTATAAAGCCCATTTTACATCAGCTTTACAGAAACCCAACCTAAAACCACAAAGAGCAAGCAATGCAGATGCACAGTGTCTAGGAAAAACTCCAGACACAAGAAATAAACCTGGGTTAAATGTACAACACGCACTGGTTAAATGTACACCACACACACACACACACACACACACTGGTTAAATGTACAACACACACACACACTGCTTAAATGTACAACACACACACACACTGGTTAAATGTACAACACACACACACACACTGCTTAAATGTACAACACACACACACACTGGTTAAATGTTCGCACACAATAATGATACACACCCGGGTACTATACACACATAGTCCCATGTAGAGCATGGTGCTTGCAAGGCCAGTGGTTGTGGGTTCGATTCCCACGGGGGACCAGTACAAAAAAATTAAGTATGAACATGTATGCACTCACTAACTGTAAGTGGCTCTGGATAAGAGCTTCTGCTGAATGACTAAAATTTGTCAATTTTATTAGGTTCGTGGACCTGCATA